TACAACCCAAGCTGTGCTCTGTTTTACTGTATTACAGTGCATATATCTATCTATCTATCTATCTATCTATCTATCGATCTGTCTGTCTGTCGTTCTATCTGTCTGTCTCTAGACCTCTATCAGTCTACAGTATCTAAGGTTCTATCTTTCTATCTTTCTATCTATTGTAACATTAAGTGTCCATCTATTATATATAAGGGTTCACTTTTAGTCTACAGTAATTATATTTTGTAGAGGGGGTTGTGTAATTCAGACGTCTCTTTTCAATTATTCTGTGCAATTATTTTTTTCTTACTACCGCATTGTTTTTTTCCCTCTTTGATCTTTAGTGTATCAGTACGCTTTAATTTCAATAAATGTTTTATCTTCTGCGATCAAGGTTGTGCTCTCTTTTTCTCTGTAGCTCCATGATTGCTGCCAGGCTTAACAAGCCAGCAGCAGTAGAGGCTGTTAATGCTGCGAGTGACCTGCTGGAGAGCGAGTCTCTGTCTCCCTCTCCACGGCTCAGCACAAGCTCTGTTTGGCTGTGCTAATGCCACTGGTGTTCTGAAGGGTTGAATCTAAACTATCTTGTCAACACAGTTGTAGAGGAGAGGAGCTGTCTTTAGTGACAGAGGTAATGGTACATCAACTTTACTCAGAAGATACAGTTAAGTCAAATTAAGAATTCTGGATTCTTGATTCTCATTTTATCTCGCTCTCTTTCTCTCCTTTTCATTTCTCTCTTTCTACTTCCTCTCTCCATGTCTGTTCTTTTTCTCATCTAATTTTTATTATTCAAACCTGTCTCTGAGTTTGTGTTAAGTAATAGATTTTGGAGCACTACTCGCTGGAAGGGCCTCTTTCTATTGTTGTAGAAAATCACAGAAATTGCTCTCTGGTTGAGTTTCAATCAGTATTGAATATAGAAAAATCATTGTCCGAGATATTACTTCTGATACAAACCTCAAAAAGACTTTATTTTAATTTAATGCATTTCTGGAAAAGAACTTGGACTGTGTCAGGCTATGAACAGACTGCAGGTGTATCTTAACAGTGCGTCATGTCAGAATAATCATATTTATCAGTTGTAAAGTGAAAATTGTGAATGTTGACATGATAACTTGTATGAGCATACAGTATAACCAGCATAGTCCGATTCCCAAACAAAATATTCGAATGACTTTTTTTTGTGTGAATCAAACACACACAGCTTAAAACTAACTGTAGGGTTACTGACTGGTTGTTCCTATGACAACATACACTGTAGTCTGTAAGTGGTATTTTATTGAAAATGAATGTTATCACATTTTTTTAAGTATCAATGTTTAATATAATGACAATTAGATTAGAAATCAGTGTAAAACGAATGATCAATGAATGAATCAATAAAAGGGGTATATAAATTGTTTAAATGATTATTATAAATAATTATATGATTACATGGAATAATAAAATGATCAAATAAATAAATAATGAATGAATGAATGAATTATAAAAGAAAGAAAATAAAACGCAGCACAAATGTTTGGTTGCTCTCTTGAAGCAACACACGGGCATCTCTCTCTTTGGCTTTCTGGCTGCTAAACGGCCTTATTTCCAATCAGTCTGATACTATATCCATCATCAGCTGATGAATCACTTGAATTTAGATGCATGCTTTCCTCAACGGATCTGATTCTTCATTTCTAAATCGCTCCCCTTCCTCTCTTAATGACATGCTGTTCTGGTGCGGTATCGTCGATGGCAGGAGCTCAGCTGTTATCCCCTCCCAGCAGTCAAGAGTTAGTGGGAAACTTATTTTATGCCTCGCATTCGAATATTAAAGATGCTTTGCTTATAAACTGCCTCTGCAGGACACTAGTCTCCATTATTGAAGAGGACGGGAGGAAAGTATGAGAGGATAGTAATGTAAGGTCTGGATTAGCTCCCTGCTGCTCGTGCGGGGCTGTACTGAGTATGGTGGATGGCTAGGTTGGCCACTCTATTGTGCTAAACAGGCGATAGAGGAATGGTAGTCTGCTAATTCACTTGAATGTGCAGTGCATGTGTCTGTGATCACTCATTTTGAGATGAATAGACTCAGAACGGATGAAGAGGAGAAACGGAGCGAGGGAGATTGATGACAGGGAGGGGGTGAGGAGCAGAAGTGTAGAACGACGGATTAGAGAGAAATGATCCGGAAAACAAATCTGACACATGGTATACTATATTAGCCTATATGTGTGTGTGTGTGTGTGTGTGTGTGTTAAATGTAAAGTCAAAATGGGAGGCCATATGTGGCATTTCACATGTGCATCACAGTGAAGGTGTATCTGAAGTGTGAGCAGTGTAAACTGCTGTTGGGAGAATGACAACTTGGAATCTGGAACGGGTCGACTGACCATTTATTCCATCGACTAACAGAAACTGTCAGTAAAATAAGCATGTTTGGTCGACCTTGATAGATTTCTCTTTTGTTTGGGATGAAGTAGAATTATAAACTAGATTATTATTATTATTTTATTGTATTATTATATTGTATTTGTACAGTTTTTGACATTACAAGAGTTGGTGAAGGTTATGAAACTACAAGGTGCAGAAAACAAATGTAATGCTGATATAAGACTGGCATATTGTTGCAAGGATTTTTTTTTTTTAAAAGGGGCAAATAATGGTAATGGTTGAATGGTTAAAAAATTGAAAGTCATTATTGTGTTAAATGAGAAAAGTGTCAAAAAGTTGCTTTAGAAAGAAATGTTTTATGTCTTTCTATGCTGCAACAGCCATGATTTTTTTTTTCAGAAGCTGCATCTGAATTCATGTTTAGATATATCTACAGACAGTTTATTGCAGCTCAGAGGTGGCATGAATGCATTTACACTGCAATTGCAATTGCATAAATAATGGCATGAGATTAATGGGTTTTAAATGGGTATTACATTTTTATTTATTTATATGGAAATATGAAATTATTTTTTAATGAAATGATACTCTAAATAACAAACTAAAACTGCCTTAAAACTGCAATACAAATCTGTTCAAAGAAAAGTTATATGAACTTTCTTATCTTAAGAGCCTCTTAAGGCTGGCCAAGAATATTGTTTCTAATCCCAGTCATGTGTTATATAATGAATTTGTGCTTCTACCATCTAATCGTCGATACAAGGTCCCTAGATTTAATCGAGTGAAACTAAAACACTCTTTTGTACATCAGGCTGTCTTAGAGCTGAGTAAGTATACACGTAAAATGAAAATTCCAGTTTTTTTAATACTATTGTATTTACAGTACTGTGTCTGTTATGAATTGTGTTTTGTTTGTAAACATACTGTTATGCAAGAAACATTTCAGACTTTGTCTGACAATAAAGTTTATATCTATATCTATATCTTTTCCCATAACTCATTAACTTAATTAATGCATTAAATCAACAGCCCTAACATATATATATATATATATGTATGTGTGTGTGTGTGTGTGTGTGTGTGTATGTGTGTGTGTGTGTGTGTTTGTAGCTAGATAGATATTTAAATATTGTATAACATTTTAAAATAGATGTTTTCTCTTTTAATGTAATTTTTTTACATTTAAATAAAAATGTAATTTATTCCTGCGATGGCAAAGCTGAATTTTTAAAAAACATTTCTTCTTATCAATATTAAAAACAGCTGTGCTGCTGAATATTTTTATGGAAACCGTGATACACATTTTTACAGGTTTCTTTGATGAATAGAAAGTTAACAGCATTTATAGAAATCTTGTAGACATAGAAAGAGAAATGGAAATCTTTTGTAACATTATGTCTTCACTGTAATTTGTGATCAGTTTAATTCTTGCTTGCTAAAGAGTAAAAGTGCTGATTTCTTTCCAAAAAAGAAAAAAAAATCTTCCTGACCCCATGATTGGAGTCCTACCTCTCCCGATGGGATCAACTCCAAAAGGGAAGAGGAGGAATTAAGACAGGAAATTAATATTGGGTGCACGTAAATGAATAGAAGAAGGCAGAGACACACAGCACACTGGCAAATCAGGCACACATTAAACATTTAGTGAAAATCTACAAAACAAGAATATATAAACACATACGTAAAACATTATACTACAGCTGTTAGGTTAACAACCTAAGCCCCCCTCCTCGCAGCCCCATCAGTGTTGTTACCTCATTAAAGCCGAATCAAGGTAACGGATCAGTCCATCTCGGACCCCAGGGGAGTGGCTTTGATGTTGAGTAGAGCGTGGAGACCTGAAAGAGAGAGAGAGAGAGAGAGAGACTGAGATTTCGCCATGCGGCATGACTAACTTGACAAACGCCCACGACCGACTTCACACATGAGTTCACACACAGAACAATCATTTACAAGCATGTACAGACCATCAATGTGTATGCATTCATGTGCTCTGTCACTCATGTGTGCATAGCTTTAAAACATTTTGGCCTATTTGCTACTGACAGCTTACACACATGCACACACTCACACACACATGCATCAGTGTATGCATATTAGATGTATGCATATTAGAGTTCATCAACGTGCTTATTATAAGCATTTGAGATCTTCAAATCATTCATCACCAATGTACTGTGGACATTTGAACCGCCTGGGATGTAACATTTGTTTCAGGAGTGAAGTGGTCATTTAGATGTTAAGGGAGAAAATGTGTCTCGTTCACAATCACATGCTTTGATGCAGCAGATGTGGGGTCGGTTCATATTTCTCTACCTTCTTTCTCCTGATCCTTGTTCCTTTTATCCAAACTTTAACAGGTTACAACTACAGGTTGGTGAAAAGAAAAAAAATGATACTTAACTTTGGATTTGTCCGTTTGTCTTTGGGTTGGAGGCAAAAATTATACAAGAATAATTGAGCTGGCTTTTAAAAAAATTATTGAGCAAGCAAATTCTCATCTCTCTCTTTGACATACTCTATGCACTGTTGAAAACCGGTATGAATTATAACTATAACCCACTGATATCCTATCATAATGTGATTCCCCTTGATTCTGCTGTTCTCATGCATGCATTTATCTTTGTTTCTTGCAGGATGACCATTCCATGTTCTTCCAGTTTGGTCCCTCTATAGAGCAGCAAGCCTCTGTCATGCTTAACATAATGGAGGAATATGACTGGTACATATTCTCCATCGTCACCACCTACTACCCTGGATACCAGGACTTTGTCAATCGGGTGAGATTTTTTTTTTTTCCCAATTCAATTCCATTTAATTTCAGTTTAACTGTTAATTTAAGCAGCTTTAGAAGTAATTTACATTTAATCATTTAGCAGACGCTTTTATCCAAAGCGACTTACAAATGAGGAGAACAATAGAAGCAATCAGACCAACAAGAGAGCAACAGTATACAAGTGCTGTGACAAGTCTCAGTTAGTCTAGCACAGTACTCATAGAAAGGTTTTTTAAATGTTTTTATATAAATTAGAGCAAGCTTCTGGAAAGGCGCATAAGTTTGAACTAGCGAGTATAGGTATATTGGTGCAGCCCCAGTGGTTGTCTTGCAGGCAAGCATCAGTACCTTGAATTGGATGCAAGCGGCTATAGGCAGCCAGTGCAAACTGATGAAGAGAGGTGTGACGTGGGCTTTCTTCGGTTCGTTAAAGACTCTCTCTGCTGCATTCTGGATCAGTTGCAGAGGCTTGATAGTAAATAAGAGAGCATTACAATAGTCCAGTCTGGAGAGAAAAAGAGCTTGGACAAGGAGTTGTGCGGCCTGCTCTGATAATACACATATAGTAGTACACTGTATGTCAGGTCAAGTTTGATGTCTTCATCCAAGCCTGTCTATGTGCATGATTCAAGTAACCTTAAAAATAAAACATGAGTTCTGATGTTCAGTTCAGGTGTTATTTCTTATTAAGCTTAGAAGACTGCAGGAACCCATCAAATATAGTTTATATGTTAGCTAAATATATACACTGCTGTTCAAAAGGTAAGATTTCTAAATGTTTTTTGCAAAAATAGCAGCTCACCAAGGCTGCATTCATTTGTTAAAACACAGCAAAATTGATATTGTGAAATAATATAAAAAATGTTTTAAAATGTAATTTATTCCTGTGATTTTAATATTGTTATCAATATTGGTAATAATAAAATATTTATTATTAATAATAATTATAATAATAATAATTAATAATAATGATGCTTAATATTTTTGTGGAAATTGTGATACATTTTTTTCAGGATTCTTGAATAGACAGAACAATATTTATTTGTTATATAAATATTTTGTAGCAGTGTCTATAAAAGTCTTTGCTGTCACTTTTGAGCAATTGAATGTGTTCTTGCTGAATAAAAGTATTAATTTCTTGAAAAAAATGTTTATCAACCCTGAACTTTTGAACAGTATTGTATGTATGTGAATTGTTGTTGTTGTTGTTACTTTTATTTATTATTTTAAAGTTATGTTTAACACTGAGATTTTAACAATTGTTTGTGAAGAAATTTGGAGTGGTGCAGAAAAGCATTGCTAAGTGGTTGCTAAGATGTTCTGCATGTTTTTAGCATGTTGTCATGTGGTTGCTAGGGTGTTCTGGGTGGTTACCAGGGGTTTCTAGGTGATTTCTATCGTGTTTTGAGAGAAACACATCTCTGTTTAAAGTGCCCCTATTATGCCTTTTCGAATATTACCTTTCATGCAGTGTGTCATGTAGCTGTATGTGAACATAAACTATCTGAAAAGTTGTGAAGCCGACAGTGCACGATAAATAAAGTTATTGTCTATCAAAAAAAAAGAGTCGGCTCGCAACGAGTCGTCAGGAATTCGAATCTTATTCTGTTATGGCTCTACGTCACGAAGTAACACATTTGCATAGTGCCTGCCTACAATTTAAGTTATGTCGCCAACATGCCCGCCCACAAACAGTCAAATTTCTCTTGTCGATCAGCCAGTTCAACCGTTTCATCATCAGACTCCGGCTCGAATTGGTAATGCACAATCGATACCATCTTTTCTATGTATTGACAAGTCTCCAGGGCTGTCATTCCATCATGGCAATGGACGTTTCGTTTCCGACACGTGCTGTACGTGGTCAACCAATCCAGAGCCGGCTCTGGACCAATCACAAAGGACTGCACCATCTGTCCAATCACAGCAGTGAGGGCTCACGGAAAGGAGGGGTTTAGAGAGACTGATTCTTTGAACTGCTTCGCACGTAATTGCATGCATGTAAACCTGTTTTAGGAGACTCATAAAACAATATTAGCAACCTTAAAAATGGCATAATAGGGGCACTTTAAATCACCTATCCAGAGCTAAACCAATTTGGCCAAATTGAGATGGGGATCTCGTGAAACCCCAGATTGCTGTTTGCTTCACTGCCCCTAATTCTGGAAACTCTTGCTGGTTCGGTTCACATCCTAATACCGACGTTCTAACTCCCGCTGGGGTGCCAGCCGCTGCAGTTCAAGTCTCTTTCATCATCAGGAGTTTGCCAATGCTCCTGTCTCAACTAATGCTCTCTTCCTCTGCTCTGTCTTCGGTATGCTGGGGCTCCTGTCAAAACTAATACACCTGTCCTTTCACCTACTTTCAGTATACGTCGCTCCTATAGGAACTAATGCTCCTTTCCTCTCCAATTTCATGTCTTATTGTTTCTGATTTCAAGGCATAGTTCACTCAGAAATGAAAATTGTGTCATCATTTACATTTACTGACCCTTATGTCATTCACACCCATGTGACAACAGAAAAGAGGCTGCACACAAGATAGAAAGTCGCAAAATGGGTTCAGAATGACATAAGGGGGAGTAAATGATGACTAGTGGAATTTTCCCTGTAACCATCTTTCTGTTCATTCATCACACCTCTCTCACAATATGTGACTTTAGCCTTAAGCCCTATAATAGTAGTGTTGAACCTTTAATTCATGCTAGCAAAAACAGCCTCTTTAGAACAGGGTTATTTATTGTTAACTAAAACTAGAACTATTAAAAATATTTTGTTAATTGAAATAAAATATAAATATTAAATGGAAAACATTGAATTAAAAAAAATTAAATGTTGATTTGGCAACTAACTGAAATAATTTGAAGTTGAAGAACTAAAATTACTAACTGAAAATAAATAAAAATTAAAAGTGAAATAAAAATAAATTTAACCTAAATACCAATATATATAAATGACAACAACTAATAAAAATGACAGAGGCACATGTCAAAATTACTAAAAAGTAAATTAAAATAACTGAAAATATAGCAATAAAAGCTAATAATAATTTTGATTTAAAAAACTGCAATAATACTAAAATAACACTGCTTTAGAAATGTGTATAGTGAATATAGAAATGTTTGTCATGTACTACTGTACACTGCCTCAACTGGGAAGCAATAGCTTCAACTTACAGTCAGCTGTTGTCACAGACCTCCTAAATTTGTCTGGCCCACAGTGCTGTGGATAAAGTTCTTAAATACACAGTGCAATGGTCAGGATTGGGTTCTTTGATCTCTGCTGTACTTTCAGTAATTCCCCAAATTGGAGCAACCTCAGGGCGATGCAAGCAGAGCCCAGTAGAAGTCCAGAGGATGCTCTACTTATTAAGGAGGCTCATGCAGCAGGCTCTTGATGTTCTTGCAGGTGTATAGCAGGCAGGTTTTTGATGTGAGACCAGTGAGACCAGTGCCAGCCTTTGTATTGTTGTCTGCTGGGGGAGGAACAATGGTTCAGACGATTCCAAAAGCTTAAACAAATTGTGTCCAGTGCTATATTCTCCTCTCCAGCCACATTGACATCTGTTTTCTTGTGCCTCCTATTTGGCCCTTCATCTTCTGCAATATCCTGGGTTGCCGCAGTACCTACGCAATTTTATTCTCTCAGTAAATGACCGTGGAAATACCTTGGTATTTAAATTCACAATGTATCAGGTAAATATCAGTTATCAGCGAACGGATCAGCCCTTTTTGAACTATATTGAATATGCACGCTCATTTCTCATGTTTTTACATTTTGCCACCATCTAACACACACTAATCTTTATAAAATCTCAACATAATGTCAATTTTTCATAATGTACATTTATATATTGATGCCTAAATTCACTTCTACCATTTAAAACGATTGATTTTAGTGTAGTTTTAGTTTAATTTTAATACCAACCATTTTTTGGTTATCAGCATATCAATAATTAGCTTATCAATACTGGCCAGAAGTATAAAACCAGTGTTGTTACATTTAACTAAAACTGTAATTTTATATATATATTCTGAAATAAAATTAAATATGAATACAAATTAGATTATTATTAGAAAAATAATTAAAAGGGACCCAAAAATGAAAATGTGCATTTTTGGGTGAACTGTCCCTTTAAGAAATGAAAGAAACCTAAATAAACATGAGAAATATTGCCTTGGCAACTAACTGAAATAAATTTAAGTTGAAAATTAAAGCTATATAGAAACACATGACACATAAAAATAAAATTTAAAAAAGACTAAAACTCAAACTAAAAATAAAATGAAAACTAATAATGTAGAAATAAAAGCTAATTAAAAATATTGATATATACATTCTACTGTTATTACTTTTAATAAAACAGTATATAAATAAAACTAAAAGGAACCATCACAGTCATTTTTTGTAGGTTTACCCCTGTGGTACCGGATGCTCACACTACACTTGACTGCATGCGTGTAATGATACCATCAGTGCAATTTGCAAGTCTGTCAAATTGTCTGGAAATATTGGGCGATACAGAAATATGCATCATCAGATTTGTGGGTACGATAATTCCATCTCCCTCTAGTTCTAACTGCACTAGATTATAATGGAAAGCATCTCTGTGGACTCGTGTTTGAACAATTTGTTATGAGAAAATGCAGTTTAATTTCACTCAGTCTCAGACAGAGCAGAGCAGTTCTGTGCATTTTGAAATGTGGGTTAGGTTTGCTTCTCTTTACAAATCACAGAGATCAAAAAATGTTTGCTGGGCTGGTATCTGGAAGAAGCAGTGCATGATGGGAATTTCACTTTTATGACTAGTGTTTTCATGTATTCCTTTAAACAAAAAAATTAGCTTTCACTTTCTATCTCTCGTTGTCTTTTTGCCAGTTTTCTTTTTAAACTCTCATATATCTAAAGAACAAAAGCGAACCATTTCGGGAGAGCTGGAGGCAGCAGGAGGCTGCTACAGGACATTTTTTCATCTTTCTTTGTCTGTTTTGCCTTCATCCAGATCCGGAGTACCGTCGAGAACAGTTTTGTTGGCTGGGAGCTGGAAGAGGTGCTGCTGTTGGACATGTCAGTAGACGATGGTGACTCAAAGATCCAGAACCAGATGAAGAAGCTCCAAAGTCCTGTTATACTACTGTACTGCACAAAAGAAGAAGCCATGACCATTTTCGAGGTGGCCCATTCTGTCGGCCTCACTGGTTATGGTTACACCTGGATCGTACCATCTCTGGTGACAGGGGATGCAGATAATGTACCCAGCGTCTTTCCAACAGGTAAGAAATGAAAGATTGGGTTAAAAAAAGGTTGAACTTCATGGGAGAAAAACACATTTATTTACTATGAAATATTTATTACAACTATGTATGTATATATGTATATATATACTACACACACAGACACACACACACTAGGTGTAAATATTTCATAGATATAAATAAATGTTATTGGAGTATGTTTTACAAAAGAATATAATTTCAGTTTTTCACTTAATTCAGCGTTGCATGCCATTTCTTTGTTTTTGAAATTTATTAGCAATTTCTGATTGAAAATATATTCTACACCATTTTTGTCAGTGTATCGAAATATTTCAGATGATCTAACACTTACTAAACTTTGTAAAATCTCAAAATAATATAAATTTTTCATACTGTACATTATAAAGTTGTGATGCCTAAATTCACTTGTCGCATTTCAAATTAAAATAAATAAAGCTATATAGAAATATTTAGCTAAAAAACTACGCAGATATTTCAGATGATTGTATTTACTGAATTTACACTTCCTTTATCTCAGGTTTGATCTCTGTTTCCTACGATGAGTGGGACTACGGGCTGGAGGCTCGAGTGCGTGATGCTGTAGCCATAATCGCCATGGCAACCTCCACAATGATGCTGGATCGGGGTCCTCACACGCTGCTTAAGTCTGGATGCCACGGCACACCTGACAAGAAAGGCAGCAAGTCAGGAAACCCCAACGAGGTGCTGAGGTGAGTCAGGCTTAGCGGGACGCCAGGGTTCAAACACTGACATCTGGGGTCTGCAATCATACACACACACAGGCAGTCTTGCCAGCATACACACTTACAACACCTGCTCAGGAGGGTTTCTGAACTAATGGAGTGTTTTGAAAAGGGTAAAGAACCCTAGACAGGTGCACAAACATATTGTTCAAGCATACATACACACCATGGTTGGTGTTAGATGTTATAGGTTCTGTCAGAGACAGATCTTTAAATTACCAGTTGTGATAATGGAAAATGGATTACTTGATCTATACAGTTCTTTACATAGTACTTTGGGATAATGGGTGCTATTTTGGGCTCAGTAAGATTTTTTTTCTTTTGAAAGAAATTAAAACTTTTATTCAACAAGGGTAGTAAAATAACAGTATGACAATTTATAATATTACAAAAGATTTCTATTTGAAATAAATATTTTTTTCACTCTGTATTCATCAAAGAATCCAGAAAAACATCTATCACGGTTTCTACAAAAATATTAAGAATGTTCAACATTGAAAATAATAAAAAAAATGTTTCTTGAGCAGCAAATCAGCAGATTAGATTGATTTCTGAAGGATCTTGTGACACTGAAGAGACAGCTTTAGCACCACAGGAATACATTACATTTTAAAATGTTTAAATAGAAAACATTTATTTTAAGTTGTTATAATTTTTGACAATATTATTGTTTTTACTGTCATTTTGATCAAATAAATGCAGCTTTAGTGAGCATAAGAGACTTCTTTCATAAACATGAAAAAAATCTTATCTGCCCCAAACTTTTGATTGGTGGTGTACAGTATATTACTGAAATATGTAAGCTTGTTTTGGAGATTTCAGTTTTTTACCCATTTAAATTTTGGTTTAGTTAGCTTTGAGTGAACTGTTGTGCTAAAACATCATGTTTGTGGTTAAATATATTAATATATAGGTTAATTAAAAAATCTATTTAATGGAGGTATCGGAATCATGGTATTGATGTTACTGGCTGTTCTTGGTTAAAAAAGTTCCCCTATTATGTTGTTTTAAAGGTTGTAATTTTGCTTTGGAGGTACACTGGGTGTACACCTTATACAGCACATAACTATGCATTTTGAGCACTTGGTAGAAAATATATACATAAAAATGAAAGTGGGTACATCTGGGCATTTTGAACTCGGCAAGATTTGAGAAGCAGTCACCAGTAAAGGATGGGAACACATTGAAAGTTTGGAGTTATACTGCGTCACTGTAAAATTCATTTTAACCACTGACCACTGACTTCATCCTTTGGGAGTACATGTAAGAGTCTTCTAGACATGCCGACAACATGAACAACTACAGCTATAGTGTTTGAGGGCGGGCCTAAGCAAACGTTGTTCGCGGGCAGCCAGTGAAGAGCATTATGCAAATGTGTTGAAACACGTAGGTTTGTGCAGAAAGCAAGACTGAAATTTCCGACAACATGTTTCAGGCAGTTCAGAATCGGTTCTTTCTTTTGGGAGGCAATAACTCCTTTTGTTGTGCACTTTGATATTTGAAGACCTTTTACATTCACAAACAACTATATTATACACTACATTAAAGATAATATCCGAAAAAGCGTATTGGGGCACTTTAAAATATACTTACGTTTAGTTTAAATTTACATAATGTAAATATAATGCATAAAATCTTCCTTTTATATATATTCTACATAATTTGTGGATTCATTTCAGTGTGGAATTTATATTAATGATTACAAATGTGAATATTATATATAATTAATTACCTAATATTCCATAGGATTAATAAAAAAAACAATCAGCAAAAATATAAAACAATTAATTAGTTAAAGATTTATAATCTATTTACAACCCTTACAGTAAAAATTTTTCCCTCAAAATGCAATCAAAAGTGGTTACAGGAGATGCATTGGAAAGGCTTGTTACTACCAGGGGGTATCTGATGATCCGTCTCATCTGGCCGTCAGCCGAGATGGATCCTAAAACCAGGTGTAAAGAGAGTCCTAGATTGAGCAACATTCTATTATAGCCATTCTGTACCTGTAACACCTCCTGGAGAAAGAATGAGTGAGAGTGACAAATGGACAACAAAAGAGAAAAAGAGAGTACATTATTGGTAATGTGGGTCAGCTGTAGCTTCTCGCTGAAGTGTCTGGCACAGAGCACCTTTCACTTTTCTTTCCCCATTATGTCTCCTCTGACATTCAGCCCGCGCCCACGTGTCTGTACTGGCCTGGCTGTTATTTTTATCTTAGAAACCTAAATATCCATCATAATACAAAAGTGAGCTTTTCATCTGAACTGCTCTGTTCTCTCTTGTACTGTTATTTGACATTTAGTATTGAAGGGCATTGATTACTAAGTATTAATTAGCATTTAGGCTAGGTCATACTCTCTTTTAACCAGTCATTTGATCTGCTGGTGAGGAGTTAATTGAATGCTTGAGGCAGAGCAGGATTAGGAAGCCGAATGGAACAACAGTGGGAGCCTGGCCTCTCTCTCTCTCTCTCTTCTGCATCTAGTTTTCCCTCTTTCTTTCTGTTTGCCTGTCCCCTCCCTTGATTAACTCTAGGCATATGCAAACATGGAAGAGTAGGATAATTGTAACACTTTTGGGTTTTTGCTCATTGATCCAGGAAATGTTTAGCATAAAGCTTTACAATTTTGCCACAATCATTGTTGACATATCAGCAGTCATTACCTGCATCAATTAAATCTATTGCCTAATCAAACTGGATACCATTACACACAAAGTGCGGTGTTACCTTCAGTCACCTAGACTCAATAATTAAATGCTCTCTAATACATATTTTAAAGGGGTCATATGATGCGATTTAAATTTTTCCTTTCTCTTTGGAGTGTTACAAGCTCTTGGTGCATAAAGAAGATCTGTAAAGTTGCAAAGACTAAAGTCTCAAATCCAAAGAGATATTCTTTATAAAAGTTAAGAGTCAGCCACACCTACCTAAAACGGCTCGTTCTAACACGCCCCCACATACCTACGTCACGATGTGGGAAGATTTGCATAATGCCGCCCAAATGTTCACGCAAAGAAAGAAGGCGTACCTTTTATTCTCGCTGTAGTATTGTTGCCGCCGCTACCACGTCGTGAAGGCGCTGTGTGATTCGTTGTGAAAGCGAAACTACTTTGTTTGGTTTTCCAAAAGAGGACGATATCGCTTCGTCATGCCTGGAGCTGATCCGTGCTGGTCGCTGAGGAAATACTTCAACTTCATGCTGTCGATCGCCAGATCAGCTTTCACCGTGGACGAAGCGGAGTCCAGCCCAGGGTCGTCACATGTGGTTGCCGCAGGCATCACAATAGGGTAAGGGACGTAACATTTCCGTCACACGCTTGAGGAATTCAGCTGGCCAATCAGAGCACACCTCGCTTTTTCAGACCGATGAGCTTTGTAAAAATCGACGCGTTTCAGAAAGGCGGGGCATAGAGGAGAAACAATAATGTACAGTATGTGGAAAATAATGTGTTTTTTTAACCTTAAACCGCATAAACACATTTCATTACACCAAATACGTTAGAGAGTCTGACTCGTAACCCAAAGGTTGCGGGGTTCGAATCTCGTACCGGCAGGAATTGTGGGTGGGGGGAGTGTACAGCGCTCTCTCCCACCTTCAATACCACGACTGAGGTGCCCTTGAGCAAGGCACCGAACCCCCAACTGCTCCCCGGGCACCGCAGCAAAAATGGCTGCCCACTGCTCCGGGTGTGTGTTCACGGTGTGTGTGTGTGTTCACTGCTGTGTGTGTGCACTTTGGATGGGATAAATGCTGAGCACTAATTCCGAGTATGGGTCACCATACTTGGCCACATGTCACGTCACTTTCACTTTTTTTCACTTTCAAATACACTAAATAATGTTCTTTTTAGCAGCATCATGTGACCCCTTTAATGTAATAAACTTTAAACCGCAAAGAGACAATCTTGAAATGCAACAGTAACAAATTAAAATCTACCTCTCATCCAGACTTTAATATGAACAGTTGTGGCACACGTATGCTAGGTTTCCTCTGTGTATTCTTCATGTGCCAATTTCAGCTGAACAGACGTCAGACTCACCTTTCCGCTGTTCTAGTTGTGTACTGTATACTGTAGATCATCGCAGGTTTTACAGTATCAGGCCCAAAACAACTACATTTAAAATTATGTATGATTTAATTTATATTGAACACAATTACGACAAAAAAAGAAAAGAAAAGAACATTCAAATTTTAACTAATAGATGGTTCACCCCAAATATTTAGTCATATTTACTCACCATTCATCATGTTGTTCCAAAACTGTATGACCAAACCTGTATATAAATCTTTTCACAATATATTTTTCAACAAAATATTAAGCAGCACAACTGCTTTCAACTTAATAATAGCTACTTGAGCAGCAAATCAGCCTATTAGAATGATTTCTGAAGGATCTTGTGACACTAAAGACTGGAGTAATGATGCTGAAAATTCAGCTTTGCCATCACAGGAATAAATTAGATTTTAAAATATATAAACTAGAAAACATATGGTAATAATATTTCACAATAATACTGTTTTTACTTTATTTATGATCAAATAAAGGCAGCCTTGGTGAGTGTAAGAGGCTTCTTTCAAAAACATTTGAAGGTAGTATATTTTATAGTATGTATTTATAGTACTTATTGAGCATTACTGCTCTCCCCTACACTTTCTTCATTCAGCTCTGTTCTTTTAAGGTTTCTTTCTGTTTATTTCTGTCTGGTTAGTTTTCAACCAAAGATTCTTTCTCATTTTCTTTTTGAACCCTTATTTTATACAGTCTGTGTAAAGTGTTGCAGGGGTGGTTAGCAGTGAAACGTTCCACAGGCCTCCGATCGCTTAATTCTGCCATCTCTAAAAACACTTTAAAATATTCAATGCTAATTTTGGAAGTTGCTTTCCAAAGCATGTATTTTAAAAATGCTTTTAATTCCAGCGCTTAGCTTGGAAACGAACCAGTCAATAACACATTGCATACAA